ATAATGAGATTAGGAATAGTCTAGAACTAACTGCGCAATAAGTAAGTGTTACCTTATTCCAGGAATGATTATTTCGTCCACAACTCGATATTCATTATTGTATTTCCAGACAGGAAAGTAATAATCCTTCTGCGCGAGGGTGTGACCAGACTCTAGAGGCGACAGTTATAAAGACTAACTATACATATAGATGTTTTGAATAACTGTATTATTTTTAAATACCTATATCTATGCTTATATTTATTTTAATGTTATATCTGATGGTGGATGTATAGTTCAAACTTAAATTATATATTAATGTATTTTGTACTAATAATTATTTATTAATGCAATGGGGTTTAACGTCATACTGCTCTGCTCCGACTGGGCTAATGAAGACGGACATACTCTATGCAGTGTGTTTTTAGGGAAATTTTGCCCGGACAGCGGCACTACAGCCTACTATTATATCGAATTCCATCTGCACGCCAGTATTTTTACGGGACCTCGTTTTTTTTGTCCCATCAGAACGACTAGACATTTGTCCTTGTCAGACCCAAACCCTGCACCACTGACACGGTGAAACCACGCCGAAAAAATCCGATGAACTTTCTCAGTCAACAAGGGGAGCGAACCCGCGACCTCCAGACTAACGACCCAGCGTCTTACTCACCTAGCCACCGTGGGCTCCTTATTGTAAAGCATTGTTGAGCATTTTATGAAAAGGGCTTTATATTAATCTTTGATAATAAATAAAATAAAAAAATAAATAAGTTTTCTCAAGGTTACCGGGTAGTCTACAAACTGTTTAACTTGTCTGAAAGTGTTTTTTTAGCCAGGACGGTCGACTGCAACAACATCTGAGAGATAAACTATGACTATTTTTGTTCATTTGCCATCAACTAAAAAGGTGGATTAGATTGAATTGGGTGGATTTTAACTTGCGCTGCTGAAATAAAATGGGGGCCAACGTCCTACTATTCTGCCCCGACTGGGCTAATGAAGACGGGCATGCGCCATACAGTGTGCTATGAAGGGAATTTTGCGTGAATCTTTTACGTGCACGCTAATGTGTACACGGGACCTCCGGTTTTCGTTCGATACGAACGAGTACGCATTGTCCCTTGCGAGGTCATCTTTCTTGCACCACTGAATGGGGGGGGGGGGAGGGGGTGGTCACGCTGGAATCCCGTTGAGCTTGCTCGGCCAGCCACAGGACAGACCATGGGACCTCAGGGTTAGCTAGCCAACGTCTTGCTCACTGAGCTACAGCGGCTCGTCAGCTGCTAAAAGGGGTTAAAATATTTTGATTGGTTCGTCTATATTAACATGTATGCTAAAGGTATTAAGGTTTTAAAGGAGGCAAGTCTCTAACTCAACATTTTCAAAATTAAAAACACAAATTAGAATTCAATATTGACCTATTTCAATCCTTATTGATGTTGTTATGTTGCAGTGAAAATGTGGGGTTTCGGGCACAAAATCAATGAACAAAGAAAAACATATCCTAAAGTACAAGGTGACAGTAAATAGTAATGGTTGATTCACAAATGATAAAATAATAATAATAATAAAAACCCGTAAACGACTGTTGTTCAGTTTGAACTGTTCACGTATTTCACTGAACATAATTGATTAGAAATTACAATATTAAAAAAAAAAATTAAATATAAATAATCACTTTATATACATTCACATTACATTAATATGCGCTTTCGGACCCATTTATGGTTAAAAGAAATAGAGCCATAGGCCCTTTAACCTGCGCCTGTTTAGTCTATGTGTCAAAAACTAACGGGAGTTGATATATGTATGATAAATTACGATTGTTTTGTCCAGTCTGTCGTAGTCGCCCAAGGTTGGGTTAAAGGGACAATAACACTCTTGCTGGCTTGACAGCTCCAAAAAATAAAAAATAGCCTTATTCTAAGTACTAGATGTGTTAGTGTCTTACCTGTTGTGTAAATTATCCATTAAATCCTATTTTACTTGTCCAGAGGGTTCAAAAATATTTTTAAATCTAAGTCATATTTGAAAAGCCTTACGTCAGGCTTTTCAAATCATTTAGTTGAATTTTTCCAATTTTTTAAATTAGGTGTGTTAAGATGAAATTTGTATCATCAATTAATTGGAATATTGTAAAATAGTACAATTTGTTGACCAGAATAAAGATTGTGACATATTATTCAGTTACAACAAGAGTGGTATTGAGCCTTTAACATTTTAAACTTGTACTTGTAGAAATGGTTCCACTACTGATGTCTTCCGTCTTGCTCCAGCCAAAGTAGTAGACCGTCCTACTGTTTTGTCTACACTGTCGTAGTCGTCCAAGGTTGAGTTAACGAAATGAAATGAAATGGGGTTTAACGTCCTACTGTTCTGCTCCTAACCTGGGCTAATGAAGACGGGCATACGCCATACAGTGTGCTATGAGGGAAATTTTGCCCAGACAGCGGCGCTACGGCCTACTCTTATATCGAATTCCAACTGCCAATGGATCTTTTACACGGGACCTCGGTTTTTCGTCCCATCCGAACGACTAGACAGCTGTCCTTGTCAGGCCCTCTGCCCTGCATCACTGACAAGGGGAAACCACGCCGGAAAATCTGGATGAACTTTCTCGGCCAATGCAGGGATCGAACACCCGACATTTTAAACTCGTCAAAGTATTGAGGTTTTTCTCCCGATAAATTGCGATTGCTTCGTCTATGTGTCAGATGCCTAAGTAAGTAAAGTTAAGAATTGACTGTATGTGTCTACATCTCAACAACTGAAGAATAATGACGATACATCAATAGATGTCTAGTCATGTACGATATCTTTATAAATATGATGGACTACAAGATGATATCTTGTAACGTCTTTAATTAAGGATCATTATGTAGAATTGTTGCCGTCATATGGTGTTATGAGAGAGAAAGAGAGAGAGAGAGAGAGAGAGAAGAGAGAGAGAGAGAGAGAGAGTAGGTCATTTCGGGACTTACATATGGTTCCATTTTATTTCATCAATTCGCTTGCGCGTAGGGGTCTTTAGCAGTGGGAGGAAACTGGAGGACCAAGCGAAAACCCTTGAGATTGGACAGGCGACCCTACTTCTTGTCACGTACAACTGGAGAGTCGAAACCACGCCAGTTGACTCAATGACAGATCTTGTGATACAGCACGCAAGCGCTAACCACAAGACAGTATGGAGGGGGGGGGACTGTGCTGCAAGACATAGGCAATAACATGGCATAACTAGAAACACATTTCCACAGAATGGAACTATAGTAAGGATTTCAATTGCCGATGCTACTGGAAAAAAAACCTTGGGTCCAAGGAGCAACTGATGCAGAAACGTAGAAGGTTGACCCCCATTTCATTTGCAAAGGCCAACCGAACAATGGAGACACAAGCCCACTGGTTTAATTTAAACATACATTATTCAACAAGAGCTAAATCCGTCTATTACAGGTCTTTCTTTAGGCCTGAAATGTTATCTAAATTCTTACTTAGACATTAATTAACTTATCCAGACCATAATCAACTCTAGAAGGCACCGCTAGCCCGTGATCTTTAGTGGATTATGAGCCGATTTACTGCATAACTTTCCTTCACGATTTAAGGATTAAATGGATAATCGAGACTATGATGTTTATCGTACTGACTTTAGTAATGATGATCGAGGCTAGGCGGAAATTCTAATCGCTTAGTTCTTGGTTCATAGTGGATCAATTTAAATGAAATTTTAAGCAAATTGCCTTTACATTATCTAGTTTTTAACTATTATAGTGAGAACTGCCGACGCGTTATCGAATCTCCCATAATGTATCTTTAAACAAAAAATTCAATGAGCGCGTGTGTTCGTCAAGTCTATTGCAGTTCCGAGTAATTCAGGATCTTTCAATGTCTCAAGCCCTTTCGTTTAAACAAAAGATTACAATACGTGTGTAAGTTGTGTCAAGTTCTCGTCAACTTGTCTGTTGTCGATTCAAGTAATTTCAAAGGTCGGTGGATATGGAGTCATTTCAGCGTGTACATAATAATAAACTGGCACATATTTGCAAAGCGGAACCCTTTTTATATCATCCAACATTTAATTCTCTCGCGTTCTTTTTGTGCGCAAAATCCGGTATTCACCTTCATATATTGAGTTAGCAATGAACACATGATATCTAGTTTACGCCGAGAAAATACGGGGTGGGATGGTCGAATGGTTAGCGCGTGCGCATTGTATCATAAGGTCTGTCATTGAGTCAACTGGCGTGGTTTCGATTCCCCGATTGTAGGATCGCCTGTCCAACCTCGTGGGTTTTCTGTGGATCATTCGGTTTCCTCCCACTGCTACGCGCAAGCGAATTATTGAAATTAAATTGAACCATACGTTAGTCCCGAAATGACCTAGTTTGTGTCGAGTGGACGTTACCCCCCCCCCCCCCCCTCTCTCGTCTCTCTCTCTCTCCAAGAAAATACATTTCGAATTGCCATAGCGGAAAATGTTATACGGTTTTTAATTCAATAATCCCTAGACATATTATTTGGTTAAGCCCAATCACGATATGTAGTAAACCAGTCCATTTCAGGTTAGTTAATCAAGAGACGAGCTTGAAATTATAGATTAGTTTGACACAAGCATGGGGATTTCAAATCAAATTTTGTCACAACATAAATCTATAAATCTCAGTGTACGAATACAGATAAAAGAATACGTACAACGAAACAAATGAAATGAGTTATCCCCTGGCCCTTCTCGGTGGGGCCCGATCTTGTTTCTGGCTATAGAACGCGACAGGAAGTTTTGTTTGAATTTTACCAAAATTAGCAGGTAAAAATGTAACCGAGGATCTCTCCTCTATAAGATTAAATCCTATTCTGGGAAGGGTTAAAACTTGCTACATAATTTTACCAAAATTAGCAGGTAAAAATGTAAGTCCTACTCTGGGGAGAGTTGAACCTTCCTACATAATTTGATCTATGATCTGAGTTCTTGTGGTTTATTTAATCAGTGCTTTGTCGTGACGTAAATTCAAAATTCAACTCACCTGCATATAAGAACTAACGTCGACCTTGACTATTTCCTACTAGACTTTCACTGTGAGTTCCTTAATATCAGCCATTACAGTAAAGAGACCCGGTGAAATTAACTAATCTAGGATGATCGTACGTATTGAAGTAATGATATCCTATCACTACAACATGTAAAACGTGAAAGCCAAACCATGCGACACACCGAATAGAGTACACATAAATAGAGTCGAGTCTACGCTATACTACGTTATATACTAGCTTCGCTGTCCTCAACATTCTACTACAGGTTGGGTTTGTCGATATGTTAGTTTGGGCGAGTTGGACGATTCCATCAATTATTAACAAACTAGATTCCACTTCTTGTTGGATATTGTTTAAACCACTGCACCATGATTTATTGGCAGTGAAATAAATTCAATAAAATCCACGATCAGTTGCTGTGGATGTTATAGATTAAATAATAAAAAAAAAGAATTATCTCCGTGGGTCACGTGGAATTTGGTTAAATTGTTCATTGATTAACTACATGGCTGTATATACGATTTCAAATTTCACACGCCCATAGATTCTGACAAAGGAATAAATTCAATTTAGTGATATCAGTTCAATTGAACTGAATTTACAAATAGGATATCCGAATACAGCACTAATAGTGGAATCACTAACAGGAACCATTCTCTGCGTCTAACATATAACACATCATTATAGCATCATTTGGTACAAACTTTGTCATTTTCCGAATATTCCCGTCCAGTTGGGAATTGAGACTTCATCATATTATAGCAAAAGATGACGGGACTTTTAATATGCAGAGCCCTGGTGTAATATTTTGCTCAAATTCGGGTCGATTTGAAATGTGTGTGAAATAGCTTTATTTAACGTCCGCTTCCACCGAAGTGATCTCACAGACTGTCCCCTTAACGCTTACCATGTGATATAAACTCTCAGATTGACAGTACATTCATTATTCTCAACGTGTTATATACTCACTCAGATTGACAGTACATTCATCATTCTCAATGTGTTATATACTCACGGATTGACAGTACATACATTCTCAATGTGTTATATACTCACGGATTGACAGTACATACATTATTCTCAACGTGTTATATATACTCTCAGATTGACAGCACATTTATTATTCTCAACGTGTTCTATACTCACGGATTGCTAGCATATTCCCCATTGGATTAACTGTTCTAATACCCCCGTCAGTCAGGGGTGGCGACCTTATTGTGCTGCTACGGCGACGGAAAAAGGTCTCGGAGCGCGTCAAGATCTCCATAAGCGTGGTAAAAGCATGGTGGAAACGCTAGAAATCGTTTGTTTTGAGCATGTTCAAAAATAACGCCAAGGTTCTACGATCATACCTGGAAAGCTGTGAGAAAGCGACTTTTTTCAAGTTTGTAATTTTTTGGGACATTTTCTCGCGTTGTGGTCACGTTTGCCGGCGACCTTGTGCATTTTCTGGTCGCCGTACGGTCACCGTACGGTCCCAGCAGCGCAGTAAGGACGCCAACCCGCTCTGACGGGGGCATTACATACACCTTTCTCAATATACAGTCATGGTCAAATGTTTAAGACCATCCTATACAAGTATTTTTTGGTTTTTTCGTTCTTTTTCTATGATTGCACCGAAAACATTAATGATTCAATCTTTAAGAGGCATTTAGTAACTAGGTAGAGCAATACACAAAAAACACATACTTATGGAAAAACAGCTACTTATTTATTTGGGCGACGTTTCGAAGAGTATTCTCTCAACGTTATCAAGCTAATACGTTGAGAGAATACTCTTCGAAACGTCGCCCAAATAAATAAGTAGCTGTTTTTCCATAAGTATGTGTTTTTTGTGTATTAATGATTCAGTTAGTAATTATTGTGATTGCACTGGCCATTTATTATACAAATATAACCTTCACCGTATAGTGTGATATACATTGTCAGGATATATGGTTAGTGCTAAATGATAAGGCCAGCTCAATTTTTCGTCAAGAATCACGAGATGTAAACAGGGCTAACGCTAATCCCAACCCTAACCCTAACCCTGGATCTAGTCCCAATGCTTACCCTTACCCTAACGTACAATTTAAGCACACAAACAATCAGGTTCCCTAACCTTATTTACATCTCAGCGACCTTGACAAAAATTGAGCTAACCTTAACAAATAGATGATATTTGTAATATGCATCAATAATGAAATAACCTATACTGTGGTATATACAAATAACCTACACCGTGGTATAAAGCTTATCAGATTGACATATATAACCGTCACGGTGTTATGTACATTGGATCCTTTCAAGTTTTCGCTTGAGCAAACTATAGTTAGTACGGGTTTAGTTATTGTAATAAGGAGAGAGAGAGAGAGGGGGGGGGGATTTAGGGGGCTAACGTACGCTACAACAGTACTTCTTCAATAATCCGGTTGCGCGGGGGGCGGGGGCGGGGGCGGGGGGGGGGGGAGAAAGCCCCACGAGGATAGACAGGCGACTCTTCTCCTTGCCACGTACAAGCTTGGAATGGAAACCATGCCACCCGCAAGATAATCTGCATACGTTTAAGTGTTTCGCTGTTCTCAAAGCCACTAGCCATTCGATCATCATATACAAAGCACTTCCACCGTCACTCGAGTAGATAACATGGCAACATGCTGCTGTCCCTGAGCGTGCTCTCCATGGCTGTTTTCAGGGAATCAAGTATTTTCTACTATGGTTGTATGTCTCTATTTTCCATATACCAAATTTGCCATACATTTATTTACAGACATCGAATAAGATATTACCACAGGTCTCTGGTTATATGTGGGTTTATTCCCTTTTATGTCACAAATAAGCATTTCCATGCCCATCCCCCACCCCCCCCCCCCACCCACCCTCCCCCCTACCAAGATGACACTGCTGGCACAGACTAGGTCATTTCGGGACTAACATATGGTTTTTAATTTTATTTCAATAATGGCTTGCGCATAGGGGTCTTTAGCAGTGGGAGGAAAACGGAGGACCCGGAGAAAACCCATGAGGTTGGACAGGCAACACTACTCCTTGTCACGTACAACCGGGGATTCGAAACCACGCCAGTTGACTCAATGACTGGCCTTGTGATACAGCGCGCGCGTGCTAACCATTCGGCCATCCAACCCCCCCCCCCCCGACACTGCTGGCAGCTTGTATCCCTAGTTGGCTGGTATCCGTAGCAACTTATAGAAATAAATGCTCCTTCACTTTCCAGTTAACACTACTAATATAGGGACGATCTCTGTCTAATAATCAGTCTCTATACTATACGGGGCTGGAACTAAAGAGTAGGAACAACTGGTAAGGCTCTAATAAGTTTATATCATTAAATATAAGCAAAACAATTTACAAACGTAAGAAGTATAAAACATCAAATATAAATGAAAATGAAATAATAACCGAAATAATAATTATACGTTTGAAATATGAAATATAGAAACTATTTACGTTTGAACTATGAAATAAAAACTATTTACGGGAGTTATCAAAAAGCTATACTGCAACCTGTAATGAAATACTAAATATAAAACATCATATACAGTATAATATACACATACCTAAAGAGAAGGAACAACTGGTAAGGCTCTAATAAGTTTATGGCTAGTAGACAAGTTTCTTGGATTTATATATCCCACGTTGCCATGTTAAAACTATAGAAACTTGTTACCAACTCATAAACAACCTGCCCGGGTTGCTACCTACTACATGTATACTCCATACCTCAAAGTGGTTAATCCTATTAATTAAACAATTCTAATTAACTCTATTGTTTATAGGATTATATAGGATTAACACCATATCGGTATAGACAAGTCGAACATCTGACTACATGTACGTATATACATAAAAATATCGTTTTGGTTGAATAAGTTGTATTTACAAAAGTGAACAATATAACACTACGAAGCCAGTGCTGATGATTGCCTGACGTGTTCCAACCTGGACCAATATGTGCAGAAACTTGCAAGGGCCTGTGGACCAACTGCTGGAGCCCATATCTGTGATTATAATGCCATTTCAGAGCAGCTATATCTCCCTAATGAAGAGTCGCAACTACAAAATAGTTATTCCTCTAAGAAACTAGCTGCGATAGATCACGTTTATTTTGTAACAAATATTTGAAAATCAGACCAATATTCGAATATTAAATACCAGTGCAGTATTCGAATATTGAAAGGCATGATTTCCGGGATTGAATATTCGAATATTGAAAGGCATGATTTCCAGAATTGAATATTCGAATATTGAAAGGCATGATTTCCGGGATTGAATATTCGAATATTGAAAGGCATGATTTCCAGAATTGAATATTCGAATATTGAAAGGCATGATTTCCGGGATTGAATATTCGAATATTGAAAGGCATGATTTCCAGAATTGAATATTCGAATATTGAAAGGCATGATTTCCGGGATTGAATATTCGAATATTGAAAGGCATGATTTCCGGGATTGAATATTCGAATACTGGTGCCGAACATTAAGTTTTACTTCATTTCAGATCCTATTTCGTTTCGTTTTTTATAGTTCAAAATTTCATTTTACTTATCTTCACAACATTAGGATCTGGAAGAGTTGTTATATAACAGGCTTTCTGTTTGATGTGAGGTATGAGCCAATACAACGGTCTGTTACATTGTGTTCTTGGAGTGCTGTGCACGGAACTGTGGGTAAACCACTTTAAACGTCAACACCGATTGATTAATCAATGCCTGACGTCATAGGGTCTGACGAACCTTCCACTACAACCGGTCAGATCTTCATGTAGTGTAGGCCATCGAAAGTATAAAAATGAAACGAAATATAGATCTGTATAGTAATCAGATTATATCAGAAATAACCCAAGTCTATTTTGCTGTTGAATGGATACTGACAGATATTCCATGTAAGAATGATATGATTAAATTGAAAAAACGATCAAGGTTTCAAGTTCTATATTACAGAAACCACGAGGATATCTAAAAATGGCATGATTTAATTAAAGAAAAATAGATCAATGTTCAAAATTAATTATTATTATTTGGGAGGCGTGAGGCGGACATCAAATTAATAAGTCAATCGGCTGAAGGATCGGAAATCCTCGGAAAAAGCTTCGTGTTTTTTGGCGTTAGCCAAATATGTCAATACCTAACTTTCAGAAATCGGTAAACTCCCCCCAAAATAACCAAAACCTCCCAGAAGACTGGAACTAAAAAGCAAGCTACAAATCTTAAAGATGCATTATGGAAGATAAGATAAAGAGCTGGCAGTTCTCACTATAATACAGTAGTT